TATTGTACAAGTCAAACATAATTCTAAGTTTATATAGAGATTACTGGACAGCACGTTGTAATTACGAGTGTGCTTTAAACTGGTATATAACGGGGCATTTGCAGTAATACATATTACTTACTTAAATATGGATCTATATAAATAAAAGTGACAAAATAACTGATCAAATCATAGCGTGTAATTATTATCATTCAAGTAAATATGGCGATGCCATTGTTTCAATCTTACTTACTACCTGGAAACCAGTGCCCCGTATTCTTTTACACTGAACCGCCTCCGTGGTCTGGTGGTAGAGCGTCCGCCCGGAGAGCGGAAGGTCCGGGGTTCGATCCCGGGCCGCGTCATACAAAAAGACGTTAAAAGATTGTACTTGTTGTTACCCTGTCTGGCGCTCGGCATTAAGGTGCTAAAACAAGGACTGGTCGGCTCGGAGTCAGTATACTGTGTCTGAGTGGGGTATTCATGTTAAACTGCGGCATGGTACCTCAGTGAGCTAGCACTATAAATCGGCATCAGTCCGGACTAGTACAAGCAGCCACACACACACATACACGTGCATGCACGTCGCTATATAAGTGCAATAATCTTGGACGCGACGTTAAACCCAATTTCACCTCACCACCTCACTTTTACACTGAAGGTTCTTTATTCAAGTGTATTGTAGGCCATAGGTTCATGATGCGAACGGAAAATGTGCAGTAGAAGGATCGTATTTATGTATTTAACAAAGATTGTCTTAGATACATGGCTTTAACAATGAACATTGACAGACTGTTTTACAGTTGCTTGATGGACAGAGGACATTAAAATTTTAAACTTTTGCCTTGTTGGAAATTCATAATATTTCCTTGGTATAAATTCTGTCCTTAGAATCTGGTAACATTCGCATATTAGATTAAAATGTTACTCATCTTCAACATAATTATATTTACATGACTGCAAACTCGTTCACTCCAGATTCCATTTTGTGTCTACCAGATTCGATCCGAAGATGGCGGGAACTACACAGTAATCTAACCTGAGCATGTCTAAATTTCTAATGAGATAAGATAGTAACATATATTTCCAGGCCAAACGTTTCCTTATTACAAAGAATAGTTATATGATTTTGAGCTTTCTATAAGAGTAGCATGCCCGTCTTGTTCATATGAAGATTTTAATCTGAATAGAAATTCATTTTTAAACTTGGGGATATTCCTGATACTTTGGTGATCCCATACTATATAGATTTAAAGATAATGGCTTCTGTTTTGCTAAAGATTTAAGTACTCCAAATAATACTTGCGTCACCTGTAGCGATGCATCCTTTACATGTTTGCCCCATGATAAAGACCTAGTAAATGTCAAGCCTAAATATTAATAGTTTACACAATAAGGCTTGACGCCATCAAAAAAACCATTTCTCATGCCTTGATAAAATACCACCTTTTTAAAAAAACCAAAAAAACCCCTTTGATTTCTCTAAATTTACAGATAAAGGATATTCATCGCAAAACAATTTCCATGTATTAATACGTTGCTGAAGTCCATACACACCAGACACCAAAAGGATGTCATCAGCAAATAATAACGAAAAAATTGAACAAGATCAGGACGAAGTTGTATTCCATGTGAACATGATAATTCTATATCCCTTGCTAGTTTATTGATGAACATTGAAAACAACATTGGGCTCAATACACAACCTTGTCCTAAACCAAGAGTACAACTGAATTCCTCCGAAAAGATGTTATTGGATCTGACGCTGGATCTGGATCTGACTACATACTATGTATATATTGTCTGTTGTATACTATACCCCTCGCGAAATCCAGTTTATGATTCAACTATCTTGTCTCAGGCGCTAGCCCAATATGATAATCTATTATTTCATCCTGTTGTGTACAGTTTACCTAATACACTTAACAGAGTTATTCCCTTGTAATTACTGGAGAGGATACGGCACCCGTTTTACACAAAGGGATTATAACACCGGAACACCGGACTTTTGGAAATTTACCAGTATTAAAAATAATATCAAATACAAGTTCAATATAAGGGACAAGAATATCTTGAACAGCTACAAAAATCTCTGGGATAATATTATCCAATCCAGCAGAATTTGAACACTTTAGTTCTGAGATTGTTTTTAATATTTCTTCTCGTGAAATAGGAGTGTCCAAGATAGAAGTGCAAGTAGCTATATCAACAGGTTCACGGACAGCTTCATGTACATTATAATTATCATCATCATCATCAACAATATTTTACTTCACAGAAATAACAAACTTTTTTAAAGTGCTCCTACCAAGTGCCAATACATATGGGCGATTTAGGTTGAGTTGTTGATGAGCAGTGTTTCAACGTCCTCCAAAAAAATAATATAAGTTAACAATTTGTTTTAGATCATTTCTAAATATAAGATTTTTTTGTTCCTGGTAACTCCAGTGTACAAATTGCGGGTTACAATAAAGATCTGTAAATCTTTATCAGCCTTAAAATGTCTAAATGTCTTCAAAAGTTTATCTCGATCCATCCTATAAAAAACTCATTCCCATGGCTGGTATACTTTTGTGTGTATATATTCTTTTTCATTTTGTCTGCTGAAGTAAAAATTGCTGAAGTAAGTGTACTTTATGCGGAGTCAGCATCATTCAATGCCTCATCACAGCATGGCATTAACATTTCTGAAATAGCTGGAGGTAAAAGATTTTCTCGAAACTCAGACACCTTGTCAATGTTCCACATGTATTTGTAACTGACATTAACACAAGCACGTGCATCTCGCCTCCCGCCATGGGGCACGGTTTGAAATGAACATGTAACTGGCAGACGTAGAGATTCCCCTCTCGAGACAATGTTAAAGCTGATGCAATCTCATTAAAATCATGTCTTAGTTCTCGCTTCCGCTAAACAAAGATCTGTGGACATCCCATTAGGGGTCACGTCAGAACGACCTTTCATCCGACCAATCAAGATCATGAAAGTGACAGTCGGAATGTGATTTCTAATAATGCTACCTCGAAAACTTTAACACGGGGTATTCCGAACGATAGTAACGGGTTTAACGACTGAATCCATACAATCTAGACCATATATTTGCCATTCCAGAATGTTCTTTTTTTCAGGTTTCAATTTTTTTATCGAGAATTTGTCATAATATGTTTCGAAGCGTAGTCGCCAATTTGAATTTAGTGCCGTAAAGCACGAGAAAGCTAACTTCTGATTGGCTAATGTCGACTTCTTGTCAGTCCTTCTATTGGTCGGTCCAAATTCGCGCAAGGTCGGTCTGACGTGATCCGTAATGGGATGTCCTGAGATCTGTTTTAAGCGATAGCGAGAACTAAGATCTGATTTTAATGAGATTGAAGCTGATGCACAGGGTTTATATACATTGATCATAACAAATTAGTTTTATCATGTGCAAATAAAGACTTCTCGAATAACAAAAACCGCATTATGGCAACTGTGTACAAATATTATATAAGGTTTCAATGATCTTTTTATAAGTAGCACAATTCATCCGGTTAATCGCCCATAATGCGCAGCTCTTACTGCATTAACACTGTAATAGATATAATCGAAAAACAAATCTTTGAGGTCAATATCTTTGAAGCAGGTCTCTGATAGGCCAATAATGTCATATCTGTGAGAAAATGAGATAAAATCATTATCTGATAACTTTGTTCGCAAGTCATTTACATTCCCACAATAAGATATAAGCTTCCTGAAAGTGAAACAGACAACTTCCAAGAGTTGCTACGTTGTACTCTTACTGGTTGGTTGGTTGGTTTATTGTTTAACGCCGCACTCAGCAATATTCCAGCTATATGACGGCGGTCTGTAAATAATCGAGTCTGGACCAGACAATCCAGTGATTGATATCATGAGCATCGATCCACGCAATTGGGATCGATGACATGTATCAACCAAGTCAGCGAGCCTTTTACGACAAGCATAGTCGCCTTTTACGGCAAGCATGGGTTGCTGAAGACCTATTCTACTGAACAGGGTGGCGTTGTACAAAGCGATCTTAGCGCTAAGGTGATCGTAACTCCCCTACCTTAACATAGACTTAAGACAGTCGCTAAGGTTGTTTTGTACAACGGCACCCGAGTGTTTGAGGAATACTGAGGATTAGTTGAAAGTGACATAAACGCAGCTACTCGTAGATTAACGGATATATATATATATTTGAAAATATGAGACTGAATTTCTTTAAAGAAAAACACGTTTAATTTAGTGGCAGGTAAATTTCTTTTCTTTCTTTCACAGTTTTGAAGTACAATCATTAATTTCCGGGGACAATTCTTTTTTAAACAAAAATACACACGCACGCACGCACGCACACACACACACACACACACACACACACACACACACACACACGCATATATATATATATATATATATATACACTCGCGCACATCACGAAAATCAAATGATCGATCCCGATGACTTACAACCTCCAGTGCTTTCTAAACGTTTTATGGTAGGCATGTGGAGGTCCTTTCCATACATGAAGGATCAGTGAGGCAAATAAAATTGTACAACAGGCCCTGCTTTTCGCAGATATTCCTTTGGATTTTGGAAATGTTTTGTTTTTATTTGTATTTTTCCCGTGCGTCGTCTGACAAGAAGTTTAATTAAATTGTTGAAACGACGATTCACGTCTACATAATGCAATGCAATTCATCGAGATTCAGAAAATCGAAATTTCTGAAGCCAAATAAACTGACGTGCGGGCGCTTTGGTCCAGGGGAGGCTACTCTTTCTTGAAACAAAGGTTATGGTCGTATGTATTGAGAGTACATGTATGAAACACCGTTTTACTATTTCATCTCAGTTTTACGATGTAAGTAAAACCTAGATATATTTAGATATCAATAAATGGCGTAATATTATACATATTCATAAGAAATCTCTGCTCAAAGAAGATACAAACATGTACCGTAGATATCTCAAATTTGATCAATCATTCACTTCCTGGTTAACAAATGTAATGAATTCTCCCTTCATGTGACTATGCTGATACCTAATACACAGTAAAAATGAATACATAATATCACAATGTCGATTAAAATATATATAAAATAGAACTTTGATATTACTAAATCGAATTTTGATTGCATTATTTCAGTGTAATCGTGTAGAAATATTCAGTAGATGGCACCCAGTCATCTGAGGCGCCGCTAGTCACAGTGCAAGTTGCGCCCCTTATACGTGCCAGAATCCTATGATTGTGGATGATCATATGGAAGGAAAGCCTGAAGTGACGAGAGCGTTGACGTTGATTACTTTGGTGATAACCACAAGCACGGGCGTGGTGCTGACAACTCATGAACGGATCGTATCTGGGATTCGAACCCATACAAATACAAAATGTCAAAATACAAAATTATATTTAGGGCGCATTGCATTAGCGTGTGCCTGGAATAGTTTGCAAAATATAGATTTTCACAGAATTTATTTAAAAAGTCATTTTCACTTGTTTTGTTAGCAAAATCACGGCAGGGAACGCCAGAAATAGGTTTCACGCATTGTACATGCCCATGTGGGGAATTAAACAAATAGTTCGGCGACGAGCGAACGCTTTAACAACGCTTTAACTACGTTTGTAATTTTATAGTCAAATCCAATTTTTAATTGTACACTTTCTTTTGCCAGACTGTTAACATTGATACAATGTACAGAGAAATACATTGACATTTGTTCTCGTTTCTATATAACTAAGAGCAAATACACTTAGACTGTTGTTTACAAGTGGACTGTTTGAAGTAAACAGCTGGTATCAACTTAATCGCGCTGACGTCTATTTAAGGTGTGAAGGATGGTACGACGCACGCGTCTGCACGTTATAAACAACTTGATCGTAACATAATGCATATGGATTTCTAATGAAGCACACTTTTGTTTTGTTAATTTCATAATCATAATGATATACAGGAAACAGTTCTTGATATTCAATTATCACGTCTTTGTTAATGGAGAATAGGCACGAAAGGTTGCAGAAAAAGTGTGTCCTGTGTTAATAATGTCCTCGAAATAGGCTATCGGTGCTTCTTCAGGTACAAATGTTTGCCAGGGACATATATGTACATGTAATGCTTGCCTAAGGTAATGACATTTTGTCTGACCGAAAAGAGCAATTAACCCCCAAACCGTTGATATAATACTGCCGGAGACAATGGGTTAACGCACTCGATTCACCTCAATCCTATAGATTATCTTGGCCAGCGTTTGGAGGATTCTATATCGGAACTAATTTCACTAGTCCACGTGACTATCACATTACATAAAACATCTGACGATGTTTTACTCCCCCTTCAACTCAAATGCTCGCTGGACAGCATCCACGCCAAAAAACGCCTGAAGAACCTTCACAACTACAAGCTTCGCGGAACTGGCAAATTCATGGTGTTTCTCGAAGACGAAATCCACCATAGTGTCCAGTTTGAATTCAATTTTTACAATGGCATCATGTTCAAATTTGTCCTTGGCTCCACCAAGGAATCTGGCTTCCAGGTTTTGGGCGCTTATTCTGTGACCCCCGCTGATTCGCTCATCGGTGAGATCCACAAATCCACACATCCCCCATTCGTGAGTGTCAAACTTGAGGTATACGGTATTTAGGGTAATGGCCTCGAGGTCATTTCCGGTCAGTTCCAGACCTAGTTCCTCGTGGAGACCTCTTGCGGCAGTTTTGACCAAATCAACCCGTTTACCACCACCTTCGGATGCATCAACGAAATCGTTAATTGAGCAACTCTCGACAGCCCCGCATGTGAGAACACCGGGGCTTGAGACACCTGGAATAAAACAAATTGTCTTTACTTTCTATTTCGTTGTCATAAAAAGTACGACCCACAAATCAACAATGGAAATGTCACACTGGATATCAAGGAGTAGGTAGATGGTCGTACAAATATACGTTGAAAGATGATAACTGTTGGTAACTCCCTTTGAGCCTCGGCATTAAGGTGATTAAAACAAGGACATCGTGCATGCATCGGACATGTGCAATAATCTTGAACGCGACGCTAAACCCCATTTCATCTCACTTCACCTCAGTGTCTATTATCTATAGAAACGGATTCCACTGACCGTGAAAGGCTAAACAATGGTGAAAATTATATGATTGGATAACTGAAAATCAGTAAAGACACCAGGTGTTCAAAAAAAGAGTAAATGTGTAAATACGCTCTGTAAATACCGAATAATGCTGAATTACAATGCCGATTATGTAAACGACGAACTACCAATACTCTGAAGCCCACACACACCATCTTCCCGAGGCAAGCGTGTCCACTAGTCTATATCAAAGCCTAGTTTCTTTGATAAAAAAAGGCTAGTGGACGCTTTTGCCACGAGAAGCTGCATTCACATAGATTAAAAGACTTGTATGTATGCAGATATCATTACATTTTTCCCCTTTGTATAAATTATAGTGAGTCTCAATATTTACCTGCACGTCTTGCCCTGCGACAGAAAATGAACTTCTGGTATTCGCCCGGCCCCTCATTGGTCAGAATAGCCACATGGAGCCCAAAGGACGTGCTGTAGAACGGATGAACAATCGCCTTGCAGGGCACCTCGACATGGCGTTCCGTTGGGGTCAGTTCCTTCATCCAAATCTCCCTCATGGCTCGGTGGTGGCAGTAGGTTGACTGGACGTATCTGTACATGTCCGTAGTTAATGAACTCACTTGCATGGTTAATGGGTCTCGTCAAATCCGCGGCTGACGGTTTTGATTGATAAGTGAAGTAGGTAGGAATTAGAAATACTACACATTCAGCAATATTCTAGCTACGTCGGCCTGGAATAACCGAGTCGCGTCCACTAAAACCAGTGCGTGATACCATGAGCAAGTGTCTGCCCACCTGACCCATTTCGTCGCCTCCTACGGCAAGCATAGGTATATCCCATTAGATATCAGTACGTTTCCGTGACTTGGAAACATTCAGAATAAATGTACCCTACACTACTTGAAACATTGGACTTGTTGAATAATCAGATGTGTAATACACAACTGTTGATTATTCCTCACTGAATGCACTATGTTTCTAACTATACCAGTTTACTGAACGTTGAGGTGGGCTGGGAATACACTGTATTTTGTTAAAGTATGAAATAAAGTCTATGCTACCTTTACATTTCACGGCGATCCATTGAATGTGGAACGGCGCGCGCAGACCCCAATATAAAATAAACATTTTCTTAAACTTGGCCGTCATGATAGAATTGTCAAATATGAAAATGTATGTCATTATTTCTTCAAAGAGCTAAAGATAGTTTTCAGCAAATGTGGACTGAAAAACACCACTCATATAGCTATTTTATTAAAAAAAACAATTGATACTCGAAGAATATCGCGTATCTGTTACAATAAAAAAGTTTCGAGTCTCGCTAGCTCGAATAGTCAGCAGGTTATTACAATTTACTGGTCTATAGATGCACATTTCAAAGTCTAACAATATCTCTACATCTTGTAATCTTGATGCTGTAGAAAATGGGTATCATAATATGCTTGTCTTTCAATTCTATCTTCAATTAAGAAACAAATATATTCCAAAGAAGTATACATCATATCGAAACATCAATTTGTTTTGCAAACTCATGTCAGCTTTAAATGTTATATTCATACATGCATTGTTGATTTGAAGAAACACCGCAAACCTTGAAATATTTTGAACTATGGGCCTATGGCCTCTCAGTTTGCCATGAATTAACAACAATTTGACAGAATGGTAAACATCTCAGGATAGAACTCACAGTGGTAAGAGTCGTGAATTTCATATAAGTGTTCAAAGGATTTCAGTTTGCTTTTGAATTCAAATAAAAGTGTACATGAACAATATCATTGCTCCATAGCTGCACGAGGTACCATTCGTAATTAACTAGTGTCATTCCTTTCGGATACAGAAAGGGGCGAGCGGTGAATGTGTAGGTGCAGAACGAGCCGAGTTGAGCCAAATAGACATCTTACCTGAGTTCCAGGTGCTGTATTTCCTCGGCGCCTGGTCTGGCAATGGTCAGCCACTTCAGGGATACAAATGGATTGTCATCGATCTCCTTCCTCTTGGCCTTCCCTTTGAACTGAGCAAGACTATCGTTGTATGCCATAAAGAAGTCCCATTCATCTGATGGGGGAGTCGGGTGATAAGGAGCATCCTCGGTCTGCACAGGACACAGAAGGAACGAGTGGTCGTATCCTTGTGGTCGAATCCTGGTCTTGAAAAATCCTTCAGTGCGCTACATGTGGAAACATTTCTATTATTTGTTGTGTGTTAACGTGATTCATAATCAGACATTATAAAACTATATCAGAGTGAATGAAAGTTGCTTAAGGTCGCAATATTCCTGCTTTATTGTCTCGTGAATATAAGACACTGAACCAGACAAACCACTGTATGCGAGGTTGGGTTTGATGACATGAACTTATCCAATGTCATCATTATCCTTTAATCGACAACTACTGACTCCCTAATGTAAACGTGAGTGAGTGAGTGAATGAGTTGGGTCTAACGCCGCTTTTAACATTATTCCAGTGAAATCACGGCGTGTCAGCTTAATGTGGAAGGAAAGCCCGATGTGATCCAGGTTTCAGATTTTTACCACTTCGGTGAAACCCACGAGCACGAGTATAGTGCTGACAAACCTAGAAACATAATCGGGTCGAACCGGATGATAGGTTTCTGACGTGCCCAAGACGACTCGGCAACCAAGATTTATAAAATTTAGTTGCTTAAACGACGATGTCGTGCCCCTTCTAAGGTTCCTGGTAATACTGTTTTTCGTTAATGCTAAAATCTGTATTAAAAATAAAACATCACAAAAAATTCTATGTTAAGCTATGAACACCTGCCTCAGAAACACAAGAATCAGCAACGAAGATGTCAGTCTTGTGCATGAAGGCACACGTGAAGAATTCCTGCTCTTCGGGCGCCTTCAAAAACGTTTCTTTCATTTCTGGAATAAGTAGTAGAGCGAGTAAGATGGTGATGAATGATCGAATGATGTTTTACGCCACAGTCAGATGTATCCAGGACTTCGTTCCACAAAACGATCGTAGCCTTAAGATGATCGTCACTCACATACTTTAACATAGTAGTCTGACTAGCGCTAAGATGACCTTGTGTAGCGGGGCCCAGAGGCCTGGAAATAGTCGAGATTGGACCAGGCAAACCAGTGGTTGTCATCATGAACAACGGTTGACAAGCAATAAACCATAGAACCCGATTTAATCACCTCCTGTGACATGCAATAAATTGGGTCTATTTCTCATGATGGGGGGAGTTGAACGATTATTACTTAGGGAAGGAAAGCTGGTCGTAGAAACTTGCGCGCTTGACATAACTAGCTTATGCGCTTCCCTTTGCATAACATCTCTATATTGTCATTTTAGTGAGGTTGGATTAACGCCGCTTTCAACAGTTTTCCAGTTATATCACGGCGTGTTCAGTTGTGACTTTTTTCTTTTACATTCAGATACTCGGTGAAGCACTTGTTGACAAAACGTTCAATCTGCATGTGTGTCACAAGAAGACCTTTTGTCATGTCGATCACATGGACGGTAGTTTGCAAATTCCACGTGCAGAGTTGTCTACCTTTGTTCGGGTTCCGCAAAGCATAATTAAACACAAGCAATTAGGGCATAAACATATCACTTCAGGTTTGAGGTGCTCTTGAACCCTTGAAGCATAAGTACCGAATACATTTGCCGGATGTCTCAAAAGTTAAAATTTCTACATTGTCTGTATCGACGTTTTCAGTAAATATCGGTGAAGTCTTTCTTCCCGTAGGTAAAGGTGAGGTAAGGTGAAATGGGGTTTACCGTCGCGTCCAAAATTATTGCACTTTTATAGCGACGTGCATGCACGTGTGTGTGTGTGTGTGTGTGTGGCTGCTTGTTCGGTACAGTGCTAGCCCACTTAGATGTCATGTCGCTTAGATTAACATGAAGACCCCACTCAGACACAGTATACAGACTCCGAGCTGGCCAGTCCTTGTTTTAGCCCCTTAATGCCGAGCGCCTGGCAGGGTAACAACAAGTACCATCTTTTAACGTCTTTTGGTATGACGCGGCCTGGGATCGAACCTCAGACCTTCCGGGCGGATGCTCTACCACTACACCACGGAGGCGGTCTCGTTTACATGTAGGTAAATATATGTATTTAGTAAATGGCATAACATTGATATGTAGTGACGTATCAAACAATGATGACCTCAAAAGTTCAAGAGATACCTACACACATCGTAATTAGAATGTAAGGAAAGCGAAATGTAAGTCAAATCGTACTAAGATTGAATATATATAATGAATTTCATGTAATGTTGATGTCATGCAAGAAAACGTTTCTTTTTGCGACAAAATAATAACGCGTATAAAGGAAGAAAGGCATTCATAGTAATGTCGGGATTAGACAAGAAAAGGTTTAGTTATAGGATCCAATCTTACAAATTACTCAACGCTGCACAGTCACATCTGATTTAAATTTATCAATACCTAATAAGCTGAAACACCCCTCAACCACCCAAGTAGCTATTTAGATAACCACCGCATGTACCGGGTTAAAACAGGTCCTCAGCAACCCAAGCTTGTCGTAAGCGGCGACTAACGGGATGGTCAGGCTCCCTGACTTGATTGATGCGTGTCACCGTATCCCAATTGCGTAGGTCGATGATCATGACATCAATCACTGGACTGTCTTACGATAAGCATAGTCTCCTTTTACGGCAAGCATGGGCTGCTGAAGACCTATTCCACCCCGGATCTTCACGTGTCCTCTGCACAAGAGATACCAGAAGCTCCGTATAGTGCTGGAAGAAACTTTCCATCGTACCTTTGTCATACTTTCCAAGCAACATCTGTGCAGTCGGTCTGTCCTCGGCCTTGACCTGTCTGCAACTCTCCACAATGACCCTCAGCTCGGGCTGAAGGTTCTGGGGAAGGCGAACCGGAGTCACCCCAATTCCTTCCAGCTCCTCTCTATCAATGTCATCCGTTACCAGGTTGGCGAAGGGTTTCTGTCCAGTAATGAGAAACGCCATGATCATCCCGTAGCACCAAATGTCTCCTCTCTTGTAGCGGTCAAGGGCTGGGACATCTGCAACAGACATTTACATCCTCATGACCACAATGAAAGTGATTCAAAGAAAAGCATCATCGGAAGTTGAGTAGTGCACACACTATGTAATGAGAATTTGTAAAGGATAAAGCGAAGGTGAATTGCTATCATCTGTGATGGGGTGGCCCACTGGTGAAAACTTTCGCTCCCACATCAAATACGTCACCGTCGACTAACCATTTCTTGTTTCTTTTGCCCGGCATTTTAGCTACATCGAGGATAAGACTTCTTTGTACCTTTTATTGAATCCTCGTCGAACAATTCAGGCGGGCCCCATCGGAGATGCTTGTACGTCCGCTGAAATGTATGAATATTTAAATTTGAACATAATTATTCGTACAGATGAATTTAATTATCGTGCATTCCAAATATGGTTCAGTGTTCGTTCTGGCAACCTCTGCATTTAGTCTGTCAGTTCAATTAATGGAGATACGGATGACCCAGTCGTCTGAGGCACCGAAATTCGCTTGGCAGAGTCGCGTCCCTTGGGCATGCCTGAACCCAATGATCATAACTTTGACTATGGTTTCGAGGTTTTTCCTGGTTTGTAAGCACCATACCCATGCTCGTGGGTTTCACCAAAGTGGTAAACGTCTGAGAGCTGCATCACGTCGGACTGCCCTCCCACATTAAGCTGACACGCCGTGATATCCGATATAATTGGAATACTGTTAAAAGTGGCGTTAAACCCAACTCACTCACTCACGACAATAATTCAAGTATTTATATAATTAACAGTATTTAACGGAGTGTCAGTCTAATGTTGAAGAAAAAACCGAAGACATGTGGGTTTTAGACTAGAATTCATACTTTGGTGAAACCAACGAGCATAGATATCTTGCTGATAAATCAAGGACGAATGTTGGATGACATGAATAAGATGAGCAGCTCACTCACTCATTCTAAAAGGAAATATATATCATACTTTGAAGTTATTTTATTACCGTAGATCCTGCCGGGGACTTTTTTGAGCTGAGACTCAACCCCCGCTGAGAACCGGTTGATCCGAACACATACTTGGTGTTGACGAAGTCGTTCCTCCAAGCCAAGCCAAAGTCAGCTACCTTCACAATGCGTTTTCCTGAGTCGTACTTGAATAAAGATCAATAAACTGTAAGCAACATGCATATTTATAGCACCATTCAGACCAATGTAGGATGATAGTAATGCCTCCATTTTTGATAGTAGATGCCCGGAGTTAATTATTTAGTACACTTTAATTACCAAGCGTATATCGGATACCAGGTCTCTTTTCTTCGAGGTATGATAGGCAATATTCGAAATGTGGATACATTTACAGTATTGCCAGAGTGAGTGAGTGAGTGAGTATGGTTTTACGCCGCTTTCAGCAATACGCCAGCAATATCACGGCGGGGGACAACAGAAATGGGCTTCACACAATGTACCCAAGTCGGGAATCGAACCCGGGCCTTCGGCGTGACGAGCGAACGCTTTAACCACTAAGCTACCCGACCGAACCCAGTATTAATAGACCTGCCGTGTGTTTTGTAATGGATAAATCATGAACCTCTGTTGATTCCAGTGATTTATCTGACTTAAACCATGGCGTCACGTCAACACAATGGTATAAAAAACTAGAGACCCAACCTCAGTTCTTCGGAGTCTCTATTCTTCTATTTGGTTTGGCTGGAGTTCCGGGTATTGAAGAAAAGACGGTAATTGCTCCCGGAATCGCCGACAACTTTCCACGAACTATTTTGGTACTGATTTTCTTATAACGATCGGATAACTATATTTATCTGCTTCATTATTGCCTTCGTTTAAAAATGGGTTGGACCAAAATATATTTATTGCTGAGGCACCAGGAAACGAGACCTAAATTGTAAAATCAATCACATAATTAAACCTTAATACTCCATCAGTTAGCGATATATTAACATATGTCATGAAATATGTCCCAATATTTCAACATTAATATCTTTATGAACATAGTGTAGATCTTGGGGTGGGCGGTTGGGTAGGCTGGTGTCGATTGCCTTCGCGTACGTGATCGGAACAAGGTGTGAAGCCCATGCTTTATGTCCCCTGCATGATCAATCTCAGTTAAATCATTTATTTCAATTCGATTCGATACCTCTATTTATAAAGACATGACACACCCAAAAAACTCTCTCATTAGCCTATCAGCTACATGTACCACGATAAGCAGCACAACATTCGAAGAAGTATATCTAAAGTCAGTATCTCGAAAACAAACGTACACGGACAGTTCCGAATGGAGAATGGTATAGGCCGCACCATATATGACTTAAATACACCGGGGTTTACTATCGAGGGAACAGTTATGTCATGTGTGACTTGCTTTTTGTTAAGAGGTGGCACTAAAGAAACAATCGTTTAAGAAAGCTGACACCTAAATGACTCAAGAGCCCACGCTCCATCTTGTTGATCATTCACTCAATGGTCACTGAGGGGAGTTCAAATTTTGGTTGAGAGTGGTATCAAACCAGAATATTCGTCATGACAAGCCTGGGATATTGCTCAAATCTCAGGAGAGTGTAACTGCGATATGGCCAACATCTCACTCAGCAATACTTACCAGTATGTTGTCCGGCTTCAGATCTCTGTGAACAATTCCCTTACCATGGAGATAATTCAAGGCACTGGCGATCTTCTGTCCAATTATCCATGTTTCTTGAACTGTCAACCCCTGAAATATATTTCTTCGTGAACGTTTCCTGTTTTGTGCTGCCTGTGAAATGACCTGATCAAGATTATCAATGAGCTTTTTTAATTTCGACATGAAAAAGTGTCTCGTGCTTAATTAAGAAATACGGATATTAACAGAATACTAACCCGCTGTAACCCTGTGCGGATATGTCCCTAGCAACCTATCCTGGTCTTTAGAGGCGACATTATGGATAGGGTGTCAGGTTTAGTGACTTGGTTGATTGTGTGTCATCGTACCCCAACGGCGTGGATTGTTTCTTATATCAATCACTGGTTTGTCTAGTCCAAATTTGATATTTACAGGCTGTCGTCAGAGCGGGAATATTGCTGAGTGTGGCGTTAAACAAACAAACACACTTAAACAAACTTACCGGTGCATCGGGTGTTTTGCTCCGCTCAACATAAGTGTCCAGGTTTTTCTCGATGTACTCCATGATAATGAACCGCATAGAGTCCCCACAATCATCTAGTTCAAGGTTGTCCTGAGTTAGTTCCTTAAGTCTCTCCGTAGTTACGTATCCGGTCCCTCTGTAGGCGATGATGTTGTCGTGACTGAGGCCTCTAAAATAACCATGTTCCAAATTCATTCAGTTATAAATGACGAATAAAATCGAAAATGGTGAAAGAGACAATGTCAATCGCTTTGCCAAAAGCAAAGTGGAATCTTGCGCTATTAACTTAATTATTTTAATCATTACCAAATTCGGCATCATTATGATAATCACGACACGGCTTCAGTAGGACATAGAGAAGATCATGTACCTGAGAAGGTTGGTCTCAGCATCCATCTCCCTCAGTTTGGAACTCGCGTCTGTTGTGAATATTTTGATGGCTGAATCACTACCCTGGTAGCGGACTTTGAACACCGCCCCGAAACAACCTTGACCCAGGGGCTCCCATTTCTCCTCGGGGAGATCTGCTTGGTTCACAAGAGATATTTCTGTGGAGAGAAAGAAATATTTTAACATTACGCCACTCATTGTTTTAAGCCTAGGTACAATATGGACTAGTGGTGAAGGTGAAACTGGGTTTAATGTCGCGTCCAAGATTATTGCACTTATGTGTGTATGTGTGACCGCTTGCACTTGTCCGGACTGATGCCTATTAAGTGATGGCTCACTGAGAATACCCCACTCAGACACAATATACAGACTCCGAGCCGACCAGTCCTTGTTTTAGCCCCTTAATGTCGAGCGAAAGACAGGGTAACATCAAATACCATCTTTTAACGTCTTTTGGTATGACGCGGCCTGGGATCGAACCCTGCTCTCTGGGCGGACGCTCTACCACTAGACCAAGGAGGCGGTCCAATACAGACTGACTACATGCATTGGTTGAATTTGGTGATGTGTGACAATCGGTGCAGCTATATCGATCGCACTACGTTAAACAGTCATAGGTTGAATTTCGGCTTGCGTCACTTGAAAGTCCACTTGAACGAAATATGCACATGGATTTTTTGCGTGTAAAAAGCCATCGATGTTAATAGGACATTCGGACATTCGGTTTGTTGGTAAAACATTCATGCCAAGACGACAGAGAAACAAACGAGATTAGGCATCCGGGTGTATTTAGCACTGCTCGGAATGTACAGACGGTTGGCAATTCAAATTAATCGTAATGAGACTTTCCTTCTCCATGGATGTTTCAACGCCACATCCAATACCAAAGATGGGCCACTCAGTAGATGTCACATTAACCACCGTCAACAATGATTACCGGAAGTATCGAGTCGAAACACACACATCGTCGTCAATCATTATAGCCAGAGTCAATACCATGTACAGATGGTGTAATCCCACTAGACCCGTGAAGATCCGGGATAGAATAGGTCTTCAACAACCCATGTTTGCCGTAGAAAGCGACTATGCTTGTCGTAAGCGGCGATCGGGATCGGATGGTCAGGCTCGCTGACTTGGTTGATGCATGTCATCGTATCCCATTTTCGTGGATCGATGTTCATGATGTCAACCACTGGATAGTCTGGTCCAGACTCGATTATTTACAGACCGCCGTCATATAGCTGGATTATTGCTGAGTGCGGCGTTAAACAACAAATAAACAAACAAAAATAACTTGTAAACATAAGTTTATCCTCGATCATAGTCTCATAGTCTCTCACATTCAATCCCGACACGTGATATTGCTGGAATATTGCTTAAAGCGGCGTTAGACCATACTCACTCACTCATCCTCGCATTCAAAGGCTAATCTTCTTCCCAACCACCCTACACCTGAGTACAGCGGATTAATGCACATTTCCTTAATTAGCCCTTTATCCTTTATAGAGTCTCAAGTGTCCTTTTCCACTGTGTCGATCCACCTCAGTGAAATCATGCTTATGATCATCTGGGATCGGATTTACTCATGCGTTTATACAGAATCTTGGAATAGCTTAGTTTAGAAAATAGATTATGTTGGCCTTAACCGTACAGTTTCTGGATCAAAAACATTTTGCGATAAAATATATACAACGGCTAATTTTCCAGTAAAGCTATCAGAAGTCCCTCCAAAAGATTGGACATAGGCTTAACATCACATGTAAACAGGGTATTATATTCTCCCTTTTTCTTTAAGAATCATGACAAAACATTGCGGGTGGGGGTAACTATGGTCATTTGAGACAGCCCTGGACCATTCATCACAGTGCCATCAGTGATGACACAAGTCAGGCGACGTCTTGTAATCAGTGTCATTCATCCACCGACCAGCCCGACTTCCTGTCATTACAGCTACCCTTTGGCAAAACAGACTACAGTGGGCTATCAACAATGAGTTGGAGAACGACCCTTTTCATAAACTAGAGCAGATGCTGCATTTCTGTAACTGTAACAGATGATGAGTTTGTAACACGCGAGGCGAGCTGTGTGGAGAGGACCATGGTGCTGTCCAAGCACGATGATACGGGATGTAATTGGTTGCAGTTGGATACTGAGACTTAGAGAATAGTTACCAATGCAGGGCAAATACATCAATCAAGTCTTCAGAACCCCCCTTGTGCAATGCTTTGCTCGACTCAACCGATAGGTCTTTCAGCATGACAAACGTCTCACAGGACTTCCTGAAGCTCTACAGATTTGCCATGCCCAGTGCTCAGTTCAGCTTTACAACAATGTGTCTCGCAACACTTCTATGGGCCACAAATCAGGCAAAGTTTAGCAACGTTGGTCGCGGCGAGTAGTGGGATGGGTGACCGTATTTGGCACCTCGACACGTGTTGTCTCTATAGGCAAGAGATTTCGATCTAAAAAGCCTCTGTTCATTCAGCAGTGAATGACACTCAAAAGAATGAGATGGTAATGTGACTGTTAATCTTCTAGCGCCTCCCCAGAGAGAAGAGAAATACATTCGAGTGCACACAGATCATTTGACCGTGATAATAATGTAGCGGGGCATGCTTTAGGATGTAAATTTGGCGCATAAACACACACATTATTATCATCAATTGGATTATGTTTGCGTTTCATAACAAAAGCATTCGTTCGTCCCACCGATCGCGATGACCCGGGTTTGACACCCCATAATCATATTCCTGAAACACTTCTAAAAGCGGTGAAAACCATCCCCACTCACTCATTCAGGGGATGGAAAAGGGCATGCACAGTCATTTATGTCATAGATATACAATATGATAATGCGCACCGGATACCGACGACCCTCTCTGTACCACCAGATCTTTCACATGTTCCTCTAGCGCCTTCAGCTGTGACGTCACTTCCGTGTAAGACCGGATGGCGTCCTCCGGTATATAGTCCTTGAGATCTTTTAACCCAGAGTATATTTTGTTGAAAGTATTTTTGAAAGTTTCTCGAACAGGAAGCAAAGGCATGTGCTCTGCTGTGTCTGCCATTTTCTGAAATATATATAATAGACATAATGAGAAAGAGATGTTTGAACAACACAGTTAATCGTTCATTGTTTTGCAGCCATAGTGGATGAAAGTGGATGACTGGTAATTTCCGAGTAGGTTGTTTTGTTTGTTTGTTCTTTAAATCAACAATAAATCTATTGTACTCAACAATATTCCAGCTATATGACGGCGGTCTGTAAATAAGCGATTCTGAACCAGGCAATCCAGTGATTGGCATCATGAGCATCGATCCACGCAATTGGGATACCATGACATGCATCAACCATGTCAGCGAGCCTGACCATCCGATCCCGACTGTCGACCTCCAGCGCAATGATAATAATGACAGTAATGATAATAGTAACAGGGACAATTATATACAAAACCAGCGAAACAAATATTACACGGCGGTCATATAATCGAGTCTGGACCAGACAATCAAGAGACTGACATCATCGATCTATGCAATAGGGATACTACGAGATGCATCAACCAAGTCACCATGTCTAACCATCCGATCCCGTTAGTAGCCTCTTACGACAAGCACGGGTTGCTGAAGACATTCTTCCCCGAATCTCCCAGGACGTTAATATACCCACGCATGCCTCCTCACATCACACAACATACAACGTGAATGATGTGTAGCCTGCTCTGAAGATTATCTTATTTACTATTACTTTCCCCGCTTTAAACGTGGAGAAAAAGGAATCGCGACCGTGTGGGTTCGGCACACACATTGTACAGACATGAACAACGGCGTTGAACGAGACGAAGGCTTCAAGAGTTAGCTCCCTTATAACAGAGCCCCGCTAGCCCACAACTTCAGAAATAGTCGCCGCATGTTAATGTCAGTGAAACAGGCCATGAAATCCAACTTTAACATTTCTTCCTTAAAATATGTTACTAGCTTCAGATTACCAACACTTTCAGCATTAAACATTAAACTTACAAGAATAACTGTTTTGAAATTGCATAATACTGGACTAGGGTCTTACGTCGTACTCATGTTGTCGTTACCTGCTCGTGTGATGAACAACACCCCGTGTTGTGAGAGAGATCGATTGTCTATTGTGATGATTACTGTTTACGTAGCGGGGTATAACTGTTCACGTCGCCACAGGCCTTGTTATCAATCCTATCTCTCAGACAAGGAAGTAAAGCCTATGAATATCACCGATCATATTGTTTTCTAAAAACGAGCATAACTATCCCAGTCAGAATGATAATAAAATACGTCTACAGAAGATACTGATTGATATTTATTTATAAATTTATATAGATTTATATCAGAATGAGTAGACCGACAATTATTTATCAATCGTGGAATTTTGATTTTGATACGGGCCCCAGTGTCAGCCTGACATTACAAGGTCACTATAGTCTCTATTCACTTCTGTCGGCAACAGCGTCACGCGTCTAGATCTCCTGTTGTTGTCTCTGAACTTGTTGATAAGCCAAAAACATTTGGATAAATGGTTACGTCGCAGTGTAAAACACACACACACACACACCAACAAAATTAAATTATATATGTATTTATAATATATGCTTAATGTTATATTTCCTAAAATACTTTTTACAAATGTTTTGCCATGATCACATAACTTAGATTAGGTTAGATTACAATGTAATGTAATGTCCTACCCCCATCAGCAAATAGAATATATCATTTGATGACTGACTTCGACCCACGCGCTTGTGTTCATAACGCAGTTAAATGGGTACCCGGAAGAAGATCAAGTTCGGACATAGACAAGGATAGGTTCAATGTAGGAAGTGTGCCGCCACCCCGATGTGTTATCAATGTAAGTTCAGTTGGTGTCAAACTACGCACACAGAAAATGAATTTTCAATGGTCTCTGGTACGTGATGACTGGATGTCGTTGTATTATGCGACAGATATTTCCATTAATGAATACATTCAGGGAGAATTAGATTCGAGGCAAACTGGATATTTTCAGTACCAACCATTATATTTCGGGGTTGAGTAATGTGACGCAGTAATTGTATGCCAATTGTGACAGGCTAGCCTTTCCAATGAGTCATTGTTCTTATTTCCAAATAGGTCAAAATGAGTGAACCTCGCTAATCCGCACGGTTCTATTCTAAGTGAAACCGCCCTGATTGATACATCTACGGCTTAACGAATTGGCCATGGAGTAGGGAGTTCTCTCCCTTTATGTATGTGAAGACGTTCCCGACAGTAATGGTCTGACAGGTTGGGTTTCCCTGATTAAATTGGTTGGTTGGTTGGTTTGTTGTTTAACGCCGCACTCCGCAATATTCCAGCTATAAGACGGCGGTCTGTAAATAATCGAGTCTGGACCAGACAATCCAGTGATTAATATCATGAGCATCGATCCACGCAATTGGGATCGATGACATGCATCAACCAAGTCAGCGAGCCTGACCAGCCGATCCCGTTAGTCGCCTTTTACGACAAGCATAGTCGCCTTGATTAAATTGGTACAGGCAAGATGGGGTTTTAGTGTAAACAAAGATAATGTGAATTTCCTTTATTACATGCTTTCAACAGCGTTAAGTTATTCATGGTAAGATTATGAGACTAATATTACCTCTAACTTATTGCAGTCTGTGCTCTTCATATATTATCTCTTTATTGCCTGTGTTCAAAGCGGCGCTCCACTCAACTGACTTTTTTTCAGCTTGTGTGTCCTGTATTACCATCTCTCAGTCCTCGCTAACCTAAGCGCTGAATATGTGAACATGGCGAACTTGGAATTTGTCATTCGATTATCTGAGTGATCTCAGCCTAGGTCCAAGTAACTCTAGAGTGATCTCAACCTAGGTCCAAGTCACTCTAGAGTGATCTCAGCCTAGGACCAATTCACTCTTAGAGTGATCTCAGCCCAGGTCCAAGGCAGTGTACATTGATCTCAGCCTAGAGTGACTTGGACCTAGGCTGAGATCACTCTAAGGTGAATTGAGCCGGGGATTGATTTGAGCCGAGACTCCGGTAAACGCCGGGTATGCTAGATATCAATTACTTCTCCCTAGAATATATGATAGTAATACTCAATAATGTACTTATTTCGTGTCACGTGATCAGCTCAGAGATTAACAGTTCGTTGTAAACATAAACGGTGTCGTTGACAGAGTAGCCACGAGACCACAAAGTGACTTCGCTATATCCGTTATTTCGTTATAAGTTTATTCGTTATATCTATTAATTGTATATGATAACATATACAGAAAATGGCCGGGAACAAAAACCTAGTTCCTTATATCAATCAGTTTGTAATAACCGTCATATACGTAGTTTACTGTTCAATATATTAACTACCAGTTAAACACATCATTAGATACACTGTTATACATACCTTCCTAATACATTCTATCACACACCCCTTATGACATAGTTAAATTAAAGCTGTAAAATTCAATTGATTGTCTATTTATTAGTGACTCCAGCTGCAACACCGTAGTTGAAATTTTAAGCGCCGGGCCTCTAATCACTGCCGGGCCTCCATTACCTGTCAATGTTGCAAGCTTGTTCACAGAATACATTATACCGAGGCGCTTATTAGAGGAAATACGGTGTGTCTATCTTTCTTTAGAAATGATTCTTAAACAACCAGGAGTGGAATCCAATGCTGATAATACCAGTGAAACAGAAAAGATTCCCATGCTAAGAATATCATCACGTCCCAGAGCATGGTGTGACGTGTACAGGTGTGTGTGTGTTCAGCCGCTGACTGTGCCAGTGAAGGGGGACACAGGTCACGTGCATAGAACATGCCACGTTGCAGTAACAAACAACATAATGTGTCGTCATACATACCTCGCTTCTCTGCAGCTATCAGTGAAGAGGAGACGCGTATAGGAATGGCAGAGTTTCAATAACAGGCACACTGGTGATCGTCTTTCTGCGAGTAAATACGGAAAAACCCAGATACTATATATAATCATAGCCGGGAGTTCCCCAAGAGAGCCCGTTTCCAGTAACTGTGCGTGATTGGCTGAGCGACAGCAGATATAGGTCATCTGCTCTGATCGAGACGACTTTGTTGTGTCTCTGTTTCGGGGACTTTGCCTTGTATTAGTATTAGGGTTGTATATGAAGTTTCACATTTTGAACTGTCCAGCGTTCAAGCACGACTGAACCACATAATTAACAATTTATTCGAGGCCGTCACTGACAACAACAAAATTAATTATGCTTGCATGGACGTGAATCGTTGATGGTTATACACGTTATAACTTGTGCAATATGAAATTCAAATAATTTTACTTCGAAGCGAGAGCTTGTGTTCTTGTTGAGTATATCGGTCGCATATAGTTGTAGCTAGCAGTCGCGTCATACTTGAACACTCCCATTCTCCTTTTACAAACCATTGTTTAAGAAACGCATTCAGAGAGGACATTCTCGCTGTTGACACTAAGCACTGCCAGAGCACAATTACTGTCTATACGAGCTCGAATCAGGAACGGCAACAGTGTGGCCTATGTTTGAGTTATTTCAAATATACCAAATCTGCTATAAAATATCCTGTTTCAGAGGCGGATCTAGTAGGATTTTGAAAGTGGGTGGAGTGAGTGAGTGAGTATGGTTTTACGCCGCTTTTAGCAATATTCCAGCAATATCACGGCGGGGGACACCAGAAATGGGCTTCACACAATGTACCCATGTCGGGAATCGAACCCGGGTCTACGGCGTGACGAGCGAACGCTTTAACCACTAGGCTACCCGACCGCCCCGAAAGTGGGTGGAGGGTGGGTTGGGCGGTGCACATGACTTGGGCGGGCAGTTAACGTGTAGAATATGTAAAGTGTCTGTCTGTCTGGCGTATGAAAAGATGCATAGAAATGGCATCCCCCCACGGGTTTTAGTTATTTAAAAAGTGCGCTTTGTTTGTTGTTACAGGCCCCTGAGAGTGATCGAGTTGGGGAACGATGACACACCAATCAAACAAGTCATCCGAGCCCGAACACTGATCCATTTGGTCGCCTCTCACGACCAGCGTATAGTTTGCTGGGGACCTTTTGTGAACCGGAACACCCACGGGTCAGCATATTTGCCGTCTACCCGTCCATGTTCTTGACATAATGAGTCTGTTCCTCGGTGTGGAGGCCAGTCAAGGTGAGACATTGTCATAGCGTTCGGTGCGAAGCTGTAATAATTACAATAACCAGTGAAGAAACAGATGCCGGGTGCTTTTAAACTCCGGGAGAGGAAGAAGCAATACTTAGCGGCTATGATATTGTGGTGGTCGGCCATGTCCGCCACTACTGCCGAAGATAACCGAGAGCCGCAGCCCGTGCCCGGGCAGCAGCAGGACCCGGAAATCCTCCCAGCCAATCGGCTAGCCGGGAGCCCATGAGGGAAACAGTCGAGTTCAAAGCAATCAAAGTAAGTAGACGTCTTTCTGACCTTTCGCTTAACTTTGTTAATATAGCCGACTCGCAATAGTGTCAACTAGTGCCACTGGTGCTATTATCGTCGGGATAGCACCGACATGAGTTCTCACTATAATGGCGCTGCGAACAAATCCGTGAATCGGGTGTAAAAGTCCGACGAAGGGAACAGGTCGTCGCGCCTGTCATTTTTTCACATCCGCCATCTTGGATTGAAAAACTTGACATTAGTAGGTTTTAACTTCATTTCAAACGCTTTTGAGGTGAAATCTTAACGCATCTTGTTTCTAAGCTGCGCTCGTCATCTGCTCCGCACACCCGAGGCAGCTGTCATTGAGATTTGTATGCGAAAATCGCTGATTGTCGATCGGCGCACGTGGCTTTGTTAGCATACACAGCCAACCACGTGCGTCGAGCCAAGGTTACACTGACATGTCAGTGTGGTAATACGGGCTCGAAGCGGGATTTTCAAACCACTCATGTGTTTGGAAATAACATGTGAGATTTAACGAAATTATACTGTGTGATTTCTGCATCGTTTGGAGCCGGACTCTGTGCAATTCGTCTTCAAGCAACTCTGCAGAGGAATTCCAAAGAACAGTGATTATCGATTGATTGACTGACTTACCAGGATCGCCGACCCAGCCGTTGTGAGGGATTTTTTCACATTGTTGGCAGTTCTAGGAGTTATAACGGATTATTACTCAATTATTAAGGACTAATCAATAGTGACTTTTTATTCTGGGATGTCATATT